AGGCAGACTTCGATAAGCCAACGAAAAATTTGTATGTGGCGTGGTTGAGAAACAGAACTGTGTGTGCTAGTTGACTTGCTCGTGAAGAAAAAGGAATGAAAACCGTGGGGAAGGCCTCAGATAAGTCCCTACTCTTGACACGCGAACGACGAACAGCTAATATGGATATTTGGCCAGAGGAAAAGAAAGAGAGAGAGCATGCAAACGAAGGAGAGCGTAATAAGACATCTATAAACTTGGGCGGAGTCACTTGAGCAACCTTGCGCCTTACCGCCGCTACCTTGCCACTTTCTGATGTGCAACTTATACAGGATTGTTCGCTGCAGCTCACACTACCTGCCCAAACGAACAGCTCAGCTAATTATATGTAAGTGATCGTGAGATCTGCCTTTGAAACCGAGAGTTTGGTAAATTACCTAGCTGGGTGTTGCGAAGAAACGATTCACGAGGCAGGAGGAGCAAGCGGCTGCAACGTGCTGATTTGCCGGCTAGTTCGGAGAACTCGTACAATGAGACCATGTGGCTGTCAAGGAAGGGTCTCCGTTTGGAGTGTGCTCGGAGTTTTTCTTGCTCTTTTTTCACGAGAAAGTCACTTCACGGCTACTGGTTCGTAACTGAGACCCATTGCCATTAATACCTAACTGGGGGAATTGTCATCATGTGTTTTTCAGCACTGGTTTCATCTTGTGTAACCAACAAATTTAGGGATTCCACAGCTTGCCACTGGACTACCGATAGGATATCCTGATTCGGTGGCCATAGTGATACAACCGATAGACTCGATGGCAGGATCACCATTCCAGGAAGTCACGATTGGTGTAAGAAGAAGTGCAGACAGCACATTCTCACACACCTTCAGTAATTTAAACGACTGCACTCCAGGGCCATTCGCGTAAGTGAACTTTTCCTTGGAGGCCTGGGAAAAGCTGTAGAGAAGTCTTCTCCATTGCCTTTTGTTTTTTACGGTCATCTGTTGCAGGCAGTCGGTTCGATTCATAAATATCGACCAAGGCGCGACACGCGTACTGCCTGCATACTGTGCGATTCCTGGTTAGTTTGCTTTCATAACTTTAGTTGTCTGAAGACGCATCCAATGGGTAGTGGGATTCAGTTTGTAGAGGCCATTTGACCAAGTAGTGAGGGGGGAGGAAAGTAAAGCCCAAACACAATTCCCTGAAGGCAAATGAGGTTTTTCTATTGCATGGGCTTTTGATAACTGTGTAAGCTTACGAATGAGCGCGAGGCGAGGAAACACTGAGCGCGTGGTTGAGATAGTAGACGACCGGGGAGGGAGAGATGGATCCGCCTACAAGTACATCAAAACTGCTTGCAGAACCATGCACCAACTGCATAGTGCGCGGTGGAATCTCAGCAATAGTGCGCGGTGGAATCGCCCACTCGAGGCCAAGCAATCTCAGCCGCGAAATATTATTTAGTTGGCCCTGTGAGAACAACAACACTGATTTGGATAAGCACGTTCATACTTCGCGATCGCGCGATCTGATTGCGTGGCCAGTCGCGGAATATGAATGCGCTCTACCTTGACCGAAACTCGAAGTCATAGTGTATTGCCTGGTGTCATTGCCAGAAACTTTTGAGCGGCAAAAGTGGTGTACTACGCACGGCTGGGGATCTGCACGCTACGGGCACCATTCAGACTTCACGATGACGCACATCGTCGCGCTGTGGCGGCTATCGCGCGAAAGCGCTGCAGTGCCATACACAATTTGCTTTATTGTGTGCCGAATATTTTTTTATTGTGGAGCGACTTTGATGAATGATTCATACCTCTGGCGTATGGCACACATTGCATTCCCATTGCGAATAGTATATAAATCGCAGAATGTATTTATTGTTGACGAGGTTAATACTGCTCTGTGTTTCCATTCTCATATGCAGATATAATGCAGTAGATGTTATACAGCTCTTTCAGCACCTGCCGCTGCGTCGTCAAACAGCCAAGACGTTCTCAGAGAGAATACCGATGGTGAGTGGAATAGGCTTGAAGGCATGGTCCCCGATCAGGTATAGAAGTTGAAAATATGGTCTCAAGAGGGTGTGTGGTCCACGGCGAACAACCTTGTACCGGTTTGCGGCAAACAACTGTAAGCGAGGGGCGCTATAGCGTGGTATGGTTCAGTGACGCCTCCTTCTTCAGTGACCCCGCCTCCGTATTCCGCCTTCAAGGCCCGCCTTTAGCGAAAAACGAAGCTGCAGGACGAAAAAGCATGAAAATCGTCACTTGTACGGTCGTAGAGTTCTTATCGGGGAATCAGCTGTGCATGAGGGCGTAGTGTTGAAGATGGAGTTAACTGGACGGCAAACTGTGACCGAAGTGGGGTTCTTTCTGGGGCAGTTGGCATGTTTTTTATCTGATTTTTTTCTTCGCTATCGAGTTACATAGCACCTTCTCGTCTATATGCAACCCCCCCCCCAATTCGCTATCAATGATGGCGAATGATCGCGGGTTTTGCCTTCAACTGAGTTCTCTGGACTGCGGCTGTATTCGGTTGTTGATGAATGATATGGTGCATGTAGAATTAAGATTAAGTTGCCATCAATAGCAGATTATATGTGTTAACATAACATTAATTTCTTTTCAGAATAGAATAAATAATAAATAACAGGAGAATAGAACTATTTTTCCAGATGAACAGTGTCCGCGAATGAACGTGAATGCGCTAGCGGACCCACGACAGCATGAATTCAGACAGGTTGTGGCTTTTGACTTGTTTTACTAATGGAACGAACGAACTTGTGAGGGTCTACGTAGTTAGGAAAAAAAGGTTTCTCTCCGACTTAAAGGCAGCGCACGCGTTCATTTGATGTTCCTACGCCCTCCTTAGATATCGTAGCTTTGTCGACAAGGGTGGAGGATGTACTAATTTCGCAGCTCAAAAATACGAGAGGATGGCGCCACCTGCTTGTGAAGAGGATGCCGCCCCGCCCACCTGGCTGCTAAACGCTGAGCCCGCTTTCAAGAATAATGAGTTATGGAGCTCATATAATACGTGATCCAGTAGTGAAGAAAAAAGCAGAAAAAAAATCATGGAAAATGCCCTATATAGAACCCTATGCTGGCCAGGTGGGCGGGGCGGCCGACTCTTCACTAGCGAACGGCGCTATCCTCTCGCCTTTTGAGATGCAAAACTAGTACATACTGCATCCTCATAGGGAGGGCTATGATATCAGAGAGGGCGCGGGAACATCAAATGAACGTGGCGCTGCCTTTAAAGTCAGTCCTGTTCCTCTAGGTATGATTAGTTTCGTATACCGCACTATTCCGGATAGAATTCAAGACCTGTTCCTGTCCGGGTGAACCAAGCATTACGTCTGTCTGGAGTCTGCCAACTGATGCGACGTTCTTTAGGAGGAGAAAACGCTGGTTTCAATCTCAGCTAGCCCCCGCAAGTCATCATATAGGCCAGATCACATTCAGAGTGACGCTGCCATTAGGAGTGCAACTAAAATGCGTGGCGCTTCTCAATAAGTGATTGGTTTGCACTAATTTCCACTATTTTACTCGCAGGCGTGCTCGCAGTCTTGTTTACTGCGGATAATGGGCGTGTCGGAAGAGATGAGTTTGGCGCAGCGCCAGTTCTTTTCTTTTTTTTTCTTTCGACAAGCTACGAGACTGTATTATATCGTTCGTAATGATCCTTTTCCATCAAATGTTGTCGCTTACCCGCTCCAACAACAGGTGAAGAACGGGTTGGCGGAGCGCCAAACCCTTTACTTGCATATCTAATCATTCAAGGCGAGCAAGACTACTTTTTAAGCCTTTTACTCAGGAATGTTCTAAATCAGATTTGCTCTAAGAAAAGCTACAACGTTACGAGCCTTACGCAATTGTAGCGCTATCCCATTCAATCGGGGAGGGGGTCAGGTTGAAAGATACACAGCACTGATAGAAAATGGCGTTTTCCTGTTTTTAATCCGGTTCTGCGGACCTTTCCCATATTTGCTACAACTGACTTACAGATATTATTCAGGTAATCTTCGCTGTGGAGAGCAGTGCGGCGATGAGCACAGCAGTCACAGAACTCGTTGCTGTCATCAAAGCGATGATCGATACACGCGCTGGATCTCGGACGCTAATTATGCCATCGGGAGCATACTTAACCTTGATAGTATTACGATGACAAAGGTACGTGCTTTGGCCGTCAGTGACATGTGATGCGGGCCTGAGCATTCCTTTTCCCGCCTCTTTCTCCCCCCACTCCGCCCCCCACTTAATTACCACCGGTGGCCGCCTGCCCTTCAGCAGGTGCAACCTGCGGAGAGCGCTTAGACAGCGTGGGATCCCTTTCCTGTGACGCTCTGCCTCCCCAACTCAGGGCATACCATGCCTGGCGGGAGGCTGCTGCTAAAGGGATCTCCCAACTTGTTCCTCCCTCTGGGAGACCCCTGATCCACAAACTTGCCTACCGTACTTACAAACTTGACGCGCAAAATTATGGCGTCCGGAATGGGGTCGAGGGTAGGGGCGGCAAGGGTAGAACTTCTGATCAACTATCAGATAGTAATAGTTTTTGTCTGTGAGCGTAGCACCGGTGTGCGTGAACGGAAAGGTGAACATCAGTTAGAAACCTTCTGGTGGTTAACACGGGCCCTTGTGTTTTGCACGATGGTTAATGAGCCTTCCCTAATTACCATAGCTCTCTAATATGCTTGGGACTTCTCTAAGAATCGGCTGGGAGATTGGTACCCGTATTGAGAGACTTTCGGCGCAGTTTGGCGACGGGGAGCGGGGCATTTTACACGTTCGCTGCTTCACTCGTCCCGGTTTACAGTTCTCGCTCTGGTGAAACCTGTGAACTCTTGTGAAGCTGAGCTAGCTCGTCAAGCCATCATGCTGAAACCCGTCGAGAAGAGGCTGTCTAAGTGGGTCGTAGCGACAACGAGAAATGCCCCCCCCCCCCCTTCGCAACCGCCCTGAAACCTCTCTGTGGATTGAAAAGGTGGATTTTTGCTTAGAATTAGATGACTATAACTATGAGAGATAGTGCTGTTTATGCATTTCATAGCCAACTGCGTAGTTGTTTTACCTTTTTACAGAAGTGAGGACTGTTTCGAGCACAAATAAGCCCAATGATTTCACTGATCAGTTTACCACCACAATGGCAGAACTAGCTCAAAATGAGAAGCAGATTGAAGAAAGTTTGTCATTGGATGTTATACACAAGGTGAATCCTTATCTCTTCTGCTTTATTTCCGAGTAGCACTAATAGTCTGGCAGGACGGAATTCGGTATCCTTGAACAGGCGCTGCGCTGCGTAGCGCATTTCCCCAGGGGGCTGCCCATAGAAGAGCCTTTCAAACCGCAGCATACCGACGCAGACGCCCACCGCGCCCGCCCGCCCAATGGACGACCGTACCTGATGCTCGTATTGCTTCATTTGCGAAGTAAAATATGAAGCGAAGGGCGATATGAAGCGGTCGCGATGCTGAATGGATATATGAGTACATACATGCAGTCCTAACAACGTAGCGCTTATTGGCAAGGCCTACAGGGATCTCGTCCGGAACTGATTTTCGGGTCACTAAAAACGAAGGCTTTTATTCGCAGGTTTCGACCGTTTCGCTTCGTTTTTCGCCATTTTCCCCCACTATATAGCCCGCTTTTACACCGAGTACCAAATTATCGTGCCATATGCCTTCAAGCAATAGGGTTTCTGAACAGAAAGTGTATTTCTGCCTATTTTTCATTGCTCCCTGCTCCACAAGCGTAGTGCACGGATACTTGTTGAGTAGAATCCCTCCTCGTAAAAGCTGCGTAGGTATGAAGGGTCCACTCAAGAGTACATTGAAAATACGGCAGCGGCTTTC